GCCGAAAAACCGATGCCGGTAGCGACAAAAACCTGCGGAGAACTCTGCAAAAAACGCATCTTCGCAAGGGCAGCCCGTGCGTTGGCCATTTATTTAAATTGGGCGTCTTCTTTCTCACTAATGTTATCAAATGCACTGAATTGTTAGCTCGATGAATTCTTTCGACTCCTTCACGATTTTTAAATACACGGTCTTAAGGGAACTCTGTTAGCTTTCGAACAATAGATTTTACTGGAATACGCAATTTACAGAATATTTTGTCACTCAATTTCCTCAATTCTTAAGACCGACTGTCCTTCGTATCGATTTACTTGAGCTTCTTTCTGAGGATAGATCGTCTGCGAGTGAAAACGACGTATCTCGTTGTTGAAGTAAGGCACTGAGTGATGGGACGGGGCTAAATGCGATTTTGACACTTGACTATCGAGATGAGTTCTCACGAAAGGAGGTGGAGGAAGAAGCGGCACTTGAAGTGAAGAAAAAATTTGTGGTCGGCCAAGGGGTGAAGGGAGGGGCCGATGCGTTATCATGGGTGGAAGTGGCCAAGGCTTGCAGTGTGCGGCAACGGCCAGCGGAGAGCGATAGTTGGACTGTAAGTATCGAGCCGGTCGCTCGGTGCCGATGATTACAGGAATTTCGATTGGTGGGCATTCGCTAATGGTTACCGATATGTGATAGGAGGAGTTAATTGGCGCATCCGGTTGACAGTAGCTTGGGAAAGCGTCAGCTGGTATCTGAAACGGTACTTCGAAATTGTAGATTTTTATCGTTAGACCTCATAGTATTTGGAAGAACGAGGTATCGCAGCGTAATACGATAACGGTTCACAAAGAAGCAAGAATTTAGGCGTAGGCGTAGACAAATGGTCCCAGGTTCACGATAAAGCACGGGGAAGGAAAGGCTTTATTTTAAAAATAATTGGCCAACGCACGGGTTGCCCGTGCGAAGATGCGTTTTTTGCATGGTTCCCCGCAGCTTTCGTTGCTACCGGCACCTGTTTTTTCGGCAAATGCTTCTAGCTAAACAAATTAAGACTGGCCGC